TTAAATTAAGATTTAATTCTCACAATGATTCTAATAATATTAAATAAGTCTAATTAAGTCAAACGAATTACTTCAATGTAATAAAAAATATCTCTTACTATAGTGAATTTAATAAAACAAAATAATTTTTTGCGTGAAGTTAAAAAACATACATTAGTTTGGCTTATATAATCATTGATAAATATCCAGATATCGATAAGTGCAATTGTGGAGATATATGAAAGGAAATCAATGTAATATCATTAAATTGATTTAATTCATGTGAATTACGCGTTAGAGTTTCGAAAAGCCATTTACATTCGCGCGAAACGATTTGAAACAAATTTCAGTATATTACAAATGGCGATCACTTCCATAACGAACTGTCTGGGTCCTCCCCCCTTGCCACCTGGAAAACGATTTCTGCAAAAGCCCTCGAAACAATTATCATCTACCTATAAGAGTTTTTGCGATCCCGCTGTAGAAATCTGGCTTCCTCATGGTATTCCAGAAAATTTAATGGCAAAATTATATTTGCATGAAATAACCATGAGTAAGATCGGTACGAACCAAAACCTGTTTAGAAGTTGCTCCGAAGGCAATCTGCGCGCGCGTGAAACAACAGTGTTGCCAAGTACGTCCCTGAACAAATGCATCAAAGCCATTTATGGTAGTTGGAAAAATCTCTTATACCGTAAGTGTGCGGATATTTTATATTATATATATAAAAATGTAATCCCAAATCTTAAGGATATTAAGGATATTAAGTTTTTGGCTAATATAAAAAATGTTCCAAAATATATAAATTATACATATTCCATATTACAGGGCTATTTAAGCAAAATTGAATGTATCGCTAATCTTGAGAAAACATCGAGAACATGAAAGCAATCGTGGTCCAAGACAAAAAAATCTAATGATATTACATTTATTGATAAAAAATTATTAAGTAAGACATCAATAATTGAGCAACAAGGACTGTTACTATAATTGAGACGAAATTTATGAGTAATTATCGAGTGACGAAGGATCTGTTAAAGAACAACCGTTTGGTTTCGAATCTTAATTTTACGTAACGTATTTAGCAAGTTATGCTTATATGTGTTTGAGTAATATAATCTTTGTTGCTTAATTCTCATGGGATGTTTATGTCTTATTTGACAACTTTTTATAAATGTGACAGCATTATTGTTCTTGATTATGATTTCTTCCATATGCCTGGAGATCCTAAAGTAAAAACCAAACTTCGACAAGATCGTTGTTTTATCGATGAAATAGGACACATTGACATATCTTTATATATTACTACATCAATATCTCACGCATATACATAAATTTTCATAGAACAATAGTGTTTTAATTAGAATTTAAGTCTAATTTTAAAAATTCCACGTTGTTTGTTATATAAATTACATTGTAACTCCAACAGTAATCAATATTCTATCAATTAATCGATCCGCATCTAGAATCATCTCCACTAGCTTTCTCAGCTTCAGCTTCAAATCCACGAGTCCTATATCTAACCCTCTTCTCCGATTAAACTTCTTGCTTTCTGATTCGGTTGCTGCAGCTACTTCTCTGGGTGAAGAAAGTATCAGATTTCTTCTCTGCAATACTAAAGAAAAGGTTTCTCTTTCCATATTCCAATTTTGGTCCGCCAAAGCAGGTATCAGCATTGCGCCATGCTTTATTCACCAATCTTGACGCTTCTGGATATGACATGATTTCATTTGCCATCAATCGTAAGATCTTCGTTGCTTTCTTATATGCTCGACATGATCTATCCAATATACTATGAGCTCCATTTCACGCATCTTTTAGCTTCTCTGCAAGGTTTCTTTGCCCTTCATAATCTTCCACTACAGTTGAGGCAGGTCTCGTCTCTGACATACACTTTGTTGGACTAGGAGTCCACATTTAAAGCTCCATCTAACATGAGGAATGAAAAACTGATACCATTCTCCAAAAGAACGACTATTCAGGGACATATATTCTTTTCCTTTGAATTCCAGACAAATATATTGACAATCCAGCTATTTATCAGTCCCTCGGTCCTTTTTTAGCCTGAACATCGAGACAACTTTCCATTATCATATTGATTAGCTTCCTCAATTATTTTTTCCATCTTAATGTATGTCGGCACTTCTTCTATCACGCCTCTTCTGAATATTGTATTTCGGGATAAAGATTCTGAAACCTAATTCCTTTAGGTATTTATTGGTTGGGGCGCTGTTGATTGCAGTACTATATAAGTATCGAAACTAAGTTTCCACGTGTTTCTAGAGTGATAAATCATGACTTTGTACTTTGGAGCCGTTTTTCTCTCTAGGTTACTTAGCTTCCTAAAGACTTCTAGATTCGATGGAGGTTTTTCTTCCTTGCGACTATCTACTTTTTTAATCAGTACAAAAAAAGATGGACGGTTGTATTCGATTCGGAATCTGAGCTCTGATTCTCTTTTTTATTCTTCACCGTTTTTTTCTCCGCGATAGAACGCAAACCTTCTTTTCTCGTTTTTTCCAAGGGCCTTACTATTCTCTTTGCACGTCTATTTTTGCTCAATAACTCCGCTATCTTTGAATTCTTGCTCGTTAATATCTGGTCCGATAAATTTCCGCTCGTGTCTTCGCGTGACCGTTTTCTTGCATAATCGTTATCCAAGAATATTTCCATAATCTCTTTCCAAGAAATATTGTTTGAAATCTGCACTGATTCTGCATTTCCACCTGCGGATCCTTCTATCTTCTGCCCCGAAGGCGGGAAGATCTCGCCTCTTTCAGATTTTGTCGATTGGAAAAACTAAGGCTGCGCTCGGAAACATCCTCTTATTATTTAACCTTATTATTCATTCAATGTTGAATAAGGAAGATAAGATGATAC